TCTGAACAAATTGTTTTTAATTAGATCAAACAATCCTATGGCTTTACAGTTCGGATCACTGCACATTTAAATCGGCCGTTTACAATTTTCGGGCATAACTCATAATTAAGTGTCATGTCGGTTTGTTGGTGGTAATATCATAGAGGTAACTCTAAGACCAGAAGGTCCCGAAGAAACGATCTAAACTTTTTGGCTCAGCTCTGGTACTATCTTCGGTCCCAAGCTAATCGATGCACCCCTCGAAACATTGGAAAATCCACGAACCCCTCATTTTATCTGTCAAACTTTCATAGCGATTCAAAACAAACATAGTGTAGTACTGGAATTTATACTAGAATGGGATACGTTAATCGATTTGCTTGGGACCAATAGGCTAGTCAAGTAGTGAGCCAATTTAAAATCGTTACTTTCGTATTGACAAAACAAAACTGCACAACGAGCTTTTCATGGTTGCCAAATCAACTTTTTGTGCCTCCGCTTATCTATGGAATCTATAGTATCTATAATCGCGCGGTAGTTGCAGCAATCCAACTTGTCACCCTTTTTGTAGATTGGGCATACGCTCGGGCATACGACACCTTCCATCCACTCCTCCGGTAATATCCTCTCCTCCCAAATCTTGGCAATTACCGACTGCAGCGCTCTAGCCAGTGCTTCACCACCGCATTTTAATAGCTCACTTGGTAGTTGATCTACACCTGTTGCTTTGTTGTTCTTCAGCCGACTGATCTCCTCCTCAACTTCTTGAAGATCAGAGGCCGGTAGCCTGTCGTCTTCTGCGCGGGCTCCAAGATCTGTTGCCGTGCCACATTCGTTTTCTGCTGCATCACCGTTGAGGTGCTCGTCATAGTACTGCTTCCACCTCTCAATCACCACACACTCGTTCGTGAGAAGGTTACCGTCCAAGTCCTTGCACATATCGGCTTGCGGCAAGTAGCCTTTGCGCGAACTATTTAGCTTCTCGTACAACTTCCGTGTGTCGTTTACGCGGTACAGCTCGACATGCAATCTAATACCCGGACAGACTATGGCTTATATCATGTAATATAGGCTGTCTTGTAATGAGCACTCATACATAGGATTTCCAGTGAAAACTAGATGTATGAGTGCTCATTGCAAGACAGCCTATAGAGATTAGTGACGTTTACCGCACGCACACTAGCGGAAGCAACGCCGTGTAAAGTTGTTTATTATTTTCCTCTGGATAACCTAAAAAATGTATGAAGGTAGACCTGTCAAAATGAGTTTGACATCGATTTGTTATGTATTTTCCTCGGATATTCACTAACACGCTCTCACATATCGCACCAATACAACCAGACGTGAAAATCTCAATATTACATTTTTTTTCTTTGATTTGTTTTCCGTCGATCTTGTTTTCCGTGCTGAGCACCAATGCTACCGACGCCAGGGAGGCAGCTCCCACACCTGGACCCTACCTTTCGACCCATCAACTCATGAACCGAGGACCAACGGCTTTACTTCCGTTATAGGCGTGATCAGAGATGTTATAGGCCTGTTGGGGTGAGAAGTAATCACGCTTACCACTACACCACCGGCACCGCTGGCCTATATTACATGATATAAGCCATAGTCTGTACGGGGTATAATGCGGTTTTGCAGCATTCTCGCCCGTGCCGCATTCTTCTCCTCTACTAACAGTATGCATTCGCCGTAAAACCAGTTATTTCTTCGGTCCGGGATCGCAGGACCTAGTGCCACTGCAGTAATATTACCTATGGCGGAACGGATGTCCCTCCAGCCATTTTCAAGAGTAGCTGTCCCAAGCGCATGCATACTGCAACTAGGTAGTGGTCCGAATCAATGTTCGCACTGCGGTACGTGCGAAGAATTTCCCGTCGATTAGAACATGATCGATTTGGTTTTCTGTGTGTTGGATTTGTGGATATCCTTGCGGGCGAAACGGCATGCAGCCTGTTTGGCCCGATTGCCGGTCTGTACATTACCTCTTGTCCTACCTGAGCGTTCATGTCGCTGATGGCGATTTTAACGTCCCGTTGCGAACAGTCGTCATACACCTGCTCCAGCTGCGCATAAAACGCTTCTTTCTCGTCGTCGGGTCTCCCTTGGTGAAGGGGAGTGCACGTTGATGATGCTGTAGTTGAAGAAACGGCACTTATTTAATCCTCAGCTTGTACATCCTCGCGTTGATCGGCTGCCAACCAATCACGCGTTGGCGCATCTACAAAGCCGGTTCCCAGCACGTTGATGGTGCCACAGCTCTGGTAGAAAGTAGCCGCTCGATGCCCGCTTTTCCATACCTTTTGTCCCAACCAGCAAAGTTAGTGCAGTGCTATGACCACTGACAAACCGACGTGAATGACCATACAAATTAGCATGACATTTCTGATCAAAGCACAAAACTGACATCTGTCGCCATGTTCGCGAAAAATCTTTATCCTAGCCACGAACACGGGTGCAACATTTATGTGTTGGTTAGTGTCTAATCTATTCCGGACAAATTATTTTTATCTAGATAAAAAGAATGGTTTTGGCAGATGGGATCGCTGCACATTTGAATCGGCCGTTATGGATTCTCGATCAAGAGTTAAGTAGTTTAAGTTTCATGTCGGTTTGTCGGTGCTATGACTTCGAAGATGCGTGGTTGAAGTTCGTCATAGATTAACTTATCGCAACCCGGGAAGCCGAGCGATTTGCAGTTCCATGTTCCGAGTTTCCTTAGTTCGTCGCGTAGGTCTGTGCCGATTATTCCGATCCGTATTTATTTTCTTCGATATTTGCAACTTTGTTTTTTTTTCAGGGCGGCTTGTTGGGCCTGCCCCAACCCCCTGTCTCGCCGGGGGACCATCGTGTACAGCTCTGTTTAGAACCTCACGCTGGCATTAGGACGGTTATCAGCCGCTGCTAACATGGAGAACATACGCCGTTTTGAGCCGCAGTCGGGTTTGGTGAAGCATTTCCTCTATCACCGTACTTTGGATACCACGCCAGTGTTCGCGTTAATCTCAACGTCTATGCTTCAATTCCAGGCTGCTGAGTTTTATTTTTTTTGTCAACATTATGAGATTCATCCCGTTTTTTTGTGGCTTAAATTCAAAAGTGGTTCTTATGGAATTCATACGTTCTTTTGCCTCAGCGTAGAGTATGTTTGTTCTTGCCACACAATTATTGCTTAGAAAGCACCCAATTAACAACTGTGGAAGTGATCAAACAATGTTAAGTTGAGAGCCGGTGTAAAGTTCCAGTAGGGACGTAATAAAGCCAAAGAAGAGAGATAGCGATCTTTCTCACCGTCAGCAACAACTTTACTTTGAATGTCACGAGAGATCATACATTATTTATTAGTGATTCAGGTTAAACGCTTTCTCAACTCCGTCGTTGTTGGTTGTACTAGCTAATAACTAACCAGAGGTTCTTCAAACAATTGTCTGTCGTCATTACAAAGCAAATTTAATTAACTCTTTCTAATCAAGTGGCCCAAATCACCAAGTAAATGCATGACGCAAAAGTAATAGGGGTCAGAATTATTGCGTCCGCACTTAGTCCTGACATTTCCAATTCGATAAAAAAGCAATTTAGTAGTACATCGGCACATCAATGACAAACGTGTTAACACACAAAACCTTGAAGGTAACGAAATTGATCCGCACATTGCTGTAGGGATAAAAGCTAGTACTTAGTAATGACGACGTTAATAGACAGGACATCAATGTCCGGTGGATTGATTCAGGCTGCAATGTGGTAGCTTGAGGTAACATAATTAGTGTTTTCATCACGCTTACTCTAAATAGGTATCTGGGAGCGAATGCCTGACACCAGTTAAACCTAATATTTTGCGGTGATATAGCGTGCTACAAATTTGATTTGTAAACTTGGTCAATGCTGTGGCTTATCTGAAATCGCACGTTGGTCAGTTTTCTAAAGTAACATTATGCACACATCCATTTGAAAGTTGCAACGAATGTAATGTGCAATACAAGTTACAGAAAAATACTGAATCAGTATAGCATTCCCAAGTACTCGATACCAGCGACGTAAGGAGGGTTTACTGCGCCATTGACAATCCTTGGAAATAACGCTCCTTTTGTAATTGAAAAAAAACAAGTGTCAGGTTTTGACTGCTTTCTCACCTCAGTGGGCTTGGGTTTAATCCCAGCCGAGGTCGTTGGAATTTTGAGAGGCGAAACAAGGAAGAAAAGTAAAACCGTTCGTCCCGACCCATGTGTTGATGGGTTCGATTTGTCACCTCCACCAATTTTCTGCAGCTAATTCCAATAAGATAAATTTATAATTTTATTTAGTGATGTAAATGTTGTCATATTTTATTTCATTACGAATACCTAGTTTTGTAAAAGAAACAAACAATGTTAAACAGATTCCTCTCAATATGTTTCCGGTAGGTAGAGGAAATGGCTCTAATGTTGGCCTATGGATCTAAGATTGGGCCCATCGCTAAAAGCCTGCTGTTTATCAATTTTATCTAAATTAACGCGTCATTGGGACGGTACTAATGGATTTTTTTGGCCGCTATTGAAAATTTAGTCGATTGCTAAATTTATGTATGGGCCCAAATTAGGGGCATTTAGGCCGAATATACATCCATTTCCCCTACTTCATTCATGTTCGCTTCTATTTCCTATTTCCCAAGACAAAATTAATCATATTCCATTTTCCCTTCCTCTATGTCACCTATAGGTCCCCCTATGTGCGCAATTGGCCAACCTCAACTCGGAATTAAAGCTTCATTAGCCTATGTCTATCCAAGTGCAAACATTGATTCGAACAAAAAACAACCAGCAGGTGTTATTAGACAAATAAAAAGGTGCAATGTTTGTCAATGTTGTGAACTGAATGAGTGAATGCAAACAATCAAAATTCTTGTGCTTTGTTATTCGTGTTGAAGCTTCTAGCACCGTATCGTCATCACCCTAAGGGAAAAACCACAGTTGACAGTGTCCTACTCCCTACGATTCGGGCGATAACAGTGTTTCATTTATTGTTCTGTGCCTCTCTCCACCATGGTTTACAAACCACCAGGAACCTCCTCTTCGTTAAGGAGCCCACCGTCGTCGTCACGTGGTCTGTCACCATCGACGTCGTTCCGCGGCGGTGGCTCGATTCGCGGCCAGAAATACAACTCGAAATCAGTGACAAATCTCAACAACTATCGAGACAACAATATCAACAACAATAACTCACGTGGTCGGATTCAAATCCGACCGCAACAGGGAACGCGTGGCTCTGGGGGTAGTACGGAGAGTTTCAACAACGGAAGGAAAGTGAACAATCTGCTGAAGGGTGCCGGGACGACGGGTTCCGGCATGGTTCGATCGAACAGTTTGAACAACAAAAGCAGCAACCGTTCCAATAGTGTCGAGAGAATGAATAATGGGAAAATCTACCGTGGACGGAGTCCGCTACGGAATTCGACATCCAATCTACAGCAGCATGGGAAAAATCAGCCGTTCTTAGTGCGGTCCAGGGGAAATGAGTAAGTAGAAAAGTTGGTTTAACGTACTGGAAGCTATATGTATATTTATGACAACACGAAACAGAGTTTGCCAGGTATTTTGTTTCCAAAGTATAGGGTTTTTATCTGTGCAGGGATCTAAGTAAAAGCATGGTGCTTCGGGTGTATTTGAAATGGGTGGTTTGACCTTGAAATCACATGCCACATGTCGGAACCGGTGGAAAGGTTATTCATTTGTTCACCGGAGCTTTTTGTTATTAGTAGGTATTCTAGATCGTTATTAAATTATCTAAACAGACACTGTTTTTACAGAAAACATGCCAAGCTATTAGTTGCATATGAAAACATATGCAATGTGGTTGTTTGCAGTAAAAAAGTCACATACAACTAATTACATCGATGCACACAATACGGCGGATGGCTGGGATCTTTCAAAAAAGAAAATTTTCTAAACTTCCATGGGCACATAATACCATTGTGCTTACCATACAATATGTTATCCAATTCAGCCCAATCCCATCCAATTCAGTTCAATCCAATCCAATCAAATCAAATCCAAGGCTTAGATAGATTTTTAACAACCTCAACATTTGGCGAGTCATTGTGTGTATGCTAATAGTCGAGCAAAATCAATACATCTTTGTTCATATCTGAGCATTCATACTCGATGTACTTAGCTGATTAATGGTCTGGGAACATAGCTACATAGGAAACACCTGCTAACTACGTTTCAGACGTCTGTTCCGTTGCAGTAATGACCTCTAACGATTATTAAACGGTTTCCAATTATCTAGTGGTAAGCAATGGGGATCTATGATAAGAAACATGTTGTTGTAACACCAATCAATGTAAACAAATGTGTGAAAGGTCATGATATCTTTGTTTTTTTCATATATTGATATAAAAACATCAATCTAAACAGAACTCCAGGTCCTATTATTCATAAACATATTCATTCAAGTACATACTGTAACTTACACTTTGGGGCCTCCCTTAGCCTAACCAGTAAAGCAAGACCATACTGGAACAGGAAGTGGTGGGTTCTATTTTCGATTTAACCACGAACATGACGTGTGAGAAATCTAATTGGTTATGTTTTCTGGGCAGAATGCCACATAATATGCAAATTGCTCAAACGATCAAATTTAGAATCAAGAAGTAGTACATATTAGATTTTGAACAATATATCATCAATTTGTGGTTCTTTATCAAATCCAACGGTTCGTATGGAAAGGTGAATCAATTTAGAAGTCATATTTGACAGAAATATCTCATTTTTTGTTCAAACCCGGTAAGAGAGGTAAAGCACGGGTTGTGCTTAGTAGGATGGAAATTAGATCAAAAACCCTACACGGTAAATGTTTTTTTTTCTAATAATTTTGAGTAATAATTAAAAAAAAAGTATCTAAATACTCAAATATTTCAAAATGTCCTTGTTCAATTTTAAACTTTGTTTTTTAAACTCATGAAAAATGCAAATTTTTTGAGTATTGTAAACAATGGACAAATTGACAAAAATCGTAGATTAAAAAGTTTGGGTCAAATTTTTATCTCTTGTTAGCACGCATTTTTAACTAAAAGTTTAAGAAATTTACCAAAAGTTCTTGTGCTACGATTTTGTCGAATATCAAGTGTCCACGGTTTTCAGTAATTCAAAAGTTTGCGTTTTACATAAGCTTTTTAAAAACATATGAAAATTGAACCCCCAATATTTGAGTATTTTGCTTTTTTTGCTAAAATTTATTGAAAAATGTCAAAGATGCGATTTTGAAAAAATAATTACAAGATTTAAAATGGCCGCATTTTAGCAAAAATATGAATGATTGCCCATAACAAACAATTACGCAAAGTTTCATGCAAATCTAAGAAGGCCGAAGTTTACTGATTCGTCATTTGGCCTTTGGAACTGTCCATTTACAGACCAAAACTCTAAAAATAAGGCCATTTACCAGATTTGAATCAAACTTTGCACATATTATGTTGGTAGCTTCCCAAAGTGGCATTTTTCGGTATTTCACTTTTTTTTTTTGATCTAATTTGTTATTAAGGTGAATGTAAACAAGCGTTTTTTGTTCAAAAAATCATAGCTTTGAAACGTTACATTTTTGATCAAAATGACGTCTGAGAAGAAATTTTAGTTTTCTGAGCTGGGCCCAGGTGGCAAAAGCGAGCAGCCGCCCAGGATGTAAATCTATCACGTTGACCCTAGTAATCCTTTATACAGAGATAAGCGGAAATATTATCAGACGATTTGGCAACGTGATTTGTTTTGTTTACAAAAGCTGCAAACACTTGCCGCGGAGCAAACTGTGTCAGCTTTCTGCGCGACTTTATCATTCTCTACGCTACGAGTTTGTTTACGTTGTTTGAATTGTCAGTGAACTGGTCAACTATGTTTCCTTAAATTTCAAATAACATTTATGGAATATAAAGTGCATTGCCATGTTTTGCCCTAATCGCGGTCGTGGAAGTGCAACGAAGTTTAACAAAGTGAGAATTTACCGGTTTCCGAAAAACACTGAGCTTCGAAAAATGGCTGGAGTTTTGCGGACTACCGTCGGATTTTTCCCTAGTTGATTCTATGCGTTTGTGTATGTTACAATGATAATTATTTGGTGGTACCTAGTTAAAATGTACTGCTTCGAGCACACGTAATTGTATTTTGCTTAAGAAAGTGGGAAACTTCTGAAGCTGCCTGGAGCGATTTTCATCAGCACCAAATGCATGTTGTGTGAAAACCATTATGTGATTTTACATCGCTTTTGACCAGCAATATCAAAAACTGTTTTTACTACTTACCTGGTATATATCTTTTCTATTTTAATTTATTTCACCCCGATTACAATACTCTTCAATTGAAGCATTCAGGAAAACGATAAACATGCTCGTTTGGCTCAATGAACTACAGAAAGAGGTGAAGCAGATCGTGAAATATGGTTGAGTTACTAATCCAAAAAATCAACGTAAACGCAATTAGTGACGTCACTAATTGCATGTATCGTACAGGGGTTTTACTCACACAACTTAACCGACTGCTTGACCTCGGTAATCCAGCTCATTGAGTTTGGCTCATATTTTGACAGTTCTCGCTAATCGATTGGCTCAAAATGGCCAGTTCCGCGAATCTCTATATAGAGCTTTTTGATGTTTAATCAGCGCACAATATTGCACCATTTAAATCGAATGAGCGCGAATAAGAGGGAAACAAATTAGTGGGAAAACAAACCGTCCGTTCTCCATGTGTGCTAGATAGAGAAAGACAATTAAAAGTCAAAAAGGTCTATATAAGGTAACTAGTTGACCCCAGAGTCGATGTTATAATAAGAGTCCCGCCAAGAGTGAAGCCAGAAGTACCAATCGAACTGTCAACCGGGATACCAATCGAGCAAAGTAAATAAACATTATTGTTCCCACAGCCAGTGAACTACAAGTATTGCATTCATTACTGATAACATTTCTTCGCTGTATTTAGTATATTTTGGTATTTATAAGTTATACCAAGCACTTGTTTGAACATTTTCCCGGTTCTATAATTGATTTTGTCTCCCAGAAGCTTCGTTATTGACATGAAATTTTTCCCTATTGAATGAAAGTCATCCGATGCTAACGCAAAAAATCTGGTTGTCGTTTACTCTGATGAAAAATAAATCACAAACAGTGCTGCTTGTTCGCAACATTTTCTCTTGACGGGACTCTTATTATAACATCGGCTCTGGTTGACCCTATGCACCACTAGGGGTGTGCAGGATACATGAGTGAGTGAGGAACAATAATATTATATTTTCAAACAAAATATACACTGAGAGAAAAATTGCTGTAAAATGTAAAATGGTGAAATGCTTTAAAGTATTGTTTTAATTATTTGTTGCATTTAATAAATGTTATAACATAATCAAATTTTGCAATTATAAGTAAAATAATACCAAAATTCTATGAATTAGCTCATATAATATTTTTTCCTAGATTCAGTGGTTCTTATGTTATGCGAATTTTAAAAGTAGGCAATTGTATATGTATTACCATTATGTATGACCTTTTTCAAATGTTAGTCCCGACGTCCAGCTACAAAATACATTTGTCATGATTGCATACCCAACTAACAATTTAAGCTGCAGATTAGCTTATACAGCCAAAAATTGGCTTATACATCTAATATTTGCCTGTATAAGCTAGTCTGCAGCTCAAAATGTTTGTTGGGTATTACATTAATAAAAATCGTCGACTCCCGGCAATCGAACAGTCGATTAGATTTGGAATTCTGATAATTCTGATGAATTCTGATCTGCCAGTTAAATAATCTTTCATGCCAAACACTGTCAAATGCTTTTTCTATGTCTAGAAGAGCAACTCCAGTTGAGTAGCCTTCAGATTTGTTCGAACGAATTAAATTGGTAACTCTTAAGAGTTGATGAATAGTTGAATGCCCATGGCGAAATTCAAACTGCTCATCTGCAAAAATTGAGTTCGTATTGATGTGAAGCATCATTCTACTTAAAATTATCCTTTCAAAAAGTTTACTTATTGAAGAAAGCAAACTAATTGGACGGTAGCTAGAAGCTTCAGTTATATTTTTATCCGGCTTCGAAATTGGAACAACTTTTGGATTTTTCCATTTATCAGGAACTTATGCCAAATGGAAACACATGTTAAATAATTTTACCAAGAAAGACAAGGTACTTTCTGGGAGTTTTTTTTTTATGAGGATATAGAAAATTCCATCATCACCTGGAGCTTTCATATCAGGCATAACATTTGATAACGGCACAAAAGCATTTGTAAACAAACTTTCTAAGGCCCTTTACATACGAACCAAAATATGCCCACACAAACCAACAACACCATCGGATAGGGGCAACTATCACCTTTCCGAAAGTGGTGTTGGTTTGCGTGGGCGTACTTTGGTTCACGTGTAAAGAGCCCTAGAAAGTTTGTTTACAAATGCTTTTGTGCCGTTATCAAATGTTATGCCTGATATTATGAAACTTTTTAGCTATAGATCTTACTTCGTTCAAATCAGTTCC